GGCTGGCATGAGCGCAGATTACGGTTCAAAGTTGAGGTTTCCACACTGTTTCTTTTTTTCGGTCTTGAATTACGGCCTTATCATACTCCTTGTTTCACGTGTCTGTAAACATTCATGTCCTCTCACAAAGCCATCTTGTCGTAGGCCATAGTGTATGCAAAACCCTAGTTCACTTCCACACCTCCGTCTGCTTCTACTCTTACCACCTACCCCCTCCCGTCCCTAACAATCACCGATAACTCCCCCCCACCGGCCCCTCCAACCCAAAACAACTCGCAAAATAACTCACCGTCCCCGCCCAATCCGTAAAAAGCCCCTTGACTCCCACCTCCCTGACCAGCACATCCAGCACCTCATAGTACTGTCCATCATGATCAACCACATCCACCACACTCGCGAAATAATACTCCGCATCCCTCTTCACATTCGCCAACGGCCCGCTCCGCTCAAACGTCCAAGCGATAATATCCATGCCATTGTCTTTAATCGCTTTCGCGTACTCGCTTTCCACGATGGTGGCGTTGTCCGACCCGCCGATGGATAAGAGCATAGGGAGCGAGGGCGCGATGATATTCACGCCTGCGGCGCGGGCGGTGGACAGATTTGCGAATCCGGCGGCGAGGTCAGACGGTGTATCAAACTCCTGCAGATACACAGCCTGAGCACCAAACTCTTCGTCATTATCAATCCAATACACCACATCCTCAAACAAGAAACTCTGCGGCCAAACACGATCCGCATGAATGCCCTTTTCGCGGAACGCGGCTATCATGTCGGACGCGTATTGAGCCTGTGTGTAGTTTCCTTGGAAAGGCATGGGGACGGCTGCGGGTGGTGTTTTTAACTCCGGGGTGAAGTTGCGGTAGCCCGGGTAGGAGTCTACGAGGTCGATGTATTGGTTTAGAGTCAGAGTCTGCGCGCATGTGTCGTAGAGTTCTGTGCGCCAGAGGGGGGTGCCGGCTTGGTAGGTGAGCGGGGTGGTGGCGGAGGCGTTGAAGCCGTCTTGTTTGCTGCAGAGGGTGCTGACTTTGTTTTGTTAGTTTGATTTTGTGTCGCGGGTACTTGGGGTGGAGGAGAGATCATACATTCATCGATCGTGATGTCCGATGTACAACATAACGCATTCGCAGGACTCGTTGCATTTGCTGGTGTAAACGGCGTGGTGCATTTTGCTGCCAATTCGGGCCTGAGCAGGATGTCTGTGGTTCGGTGTAGATCGCATAGGTCATGTCTGCACACCAATCCCCTATCGCTTGTGAAAGCTACATCGCATTCCAAGATTCCAGCACCCATCCGCGCACCAGCATCTTGTGACCGGATCGACTCTTCTGGGAATTGCAGTGTGCCTCCACCGCGGTGACCGATTGTGAATGGGGAGATAGAAACCGGAGTATTCTCACACGACTGCAGTTTCCGCTTCAACGGACTATCAGTCATATTGCTGATGATGTAGTACGGTCGCGGCCCGACAGAAACGAGATAATCCGTCGCATTTTCCAGAGGCGTATGATGGTGCTTGCTAACAGCCGGGTAACCCAGAGCTGTAGCAGCGAGACCCAGTACCAGAAACGCGCTCATATTGACGGGAAGATTGTGACTTCTTGTAGGAACGAAAAGGACGACAAGAAACCAACACACCACCCCTCAACCACAGCCAAAGCCATCCATCTTTTATACCTACCCAACGTCGTCAGCCCGCTCTCGAGCTAAACACCCTTCCCCTACGTCAACGACAAGCCCGATCCACGACCCTAGCCATAAGCTGCAGGAACGGACGCATACTAGCCATCCATCTATCCCATGTGCGCGGCACGCAGCGGAAACCTAACCCTACCTAGGTACACCCCAGTCGCCAAAGCTTGATAAAAAGCTTGCGTGAGCTTCATCAGCGTGAGAAAAGCTTAGTTACGTCAAGAATGGTGGGCGAAACGGAAGACACGGACGGGTCGCAGTCACACGTGGGCAGGATAGGCGGATGTCGTTCAACGCGCGCGCATGTGTAATCGGTTGGGATTGCGCCAATCGATTAGCGCATGTGGGGCGCTTGCGTGTAGGTTGGTGCGTCCCCGCGTGTCAACCCGGGAACGGCGATACGGTATGCGAAGAAGAACAGTTCTAGTGCAACAGCCATTGTGGTCGTGAGTTTACGATCCAGGGTTGGAGATGCGACGGCAATAACGTTGCGAAGTGCAGCTTGTGAGTCGTTTCTGTACGGACATTGCGGAATTCAGTCAACTACCCAACTTCCATCCTATCATCCTACTTCTCCAACCTCGCAGCCCTGCTTTCGTCCCTCCACCACTCGCATTGACGCCTCCTAATCGCATCTCCCTCCACCCTGCTATTGCCAAAAGCCTCCATCCTCAACTGCAACCCCGGCCTACCCTCACCCTCATCCTCATATTTCGGCCAAACCGGTACACCAGTCCGATTCCCCGCATTTGGATCGCCCAACGCAACAAAGTCGGAGAAGTACGCATTGAGTAGCTCCTTGCCTACTTCTGGGTACTGCACACCACCGTTACCGGCCGGTTCAGCCCATGTGTACTTTGTGTCGGCGGTGTGGGGGATGCCTTTCCAAGTAGGGAATGTGTTGTTTACGGCGAAGACCATTTTGTACACGGGGACTGAGGCAGACGACATGCGCATGGCGGTTTCTTGGCCGGCGCAGACGTACATGTAGTCTGTAAGCGCGGCAGAGATGCGGTTGTATTGTGTGGAATTCGGGCTGTGGGCGTAAGGGCCGTCGATGTCGTCTGCTGGGTCAGGGTAAAGCTCCTCGAGATCGGAGAGATCGTCAGTGGTCAGACCTGGGATCAGGTTTTTGATGAAGGCGAGGAATTCTTCGTTGTTGGAAATGTCGCCTGGGGAGTAGTACTTTGCTTCGTCGACAACGTTGGTGGTAATGGTGGGGATGCGGTAGAACTGTTCGTTGATTCCGGACGTTGAGCCTGCTTGTTCAAGAAGAGGGCCGCCTCGCGTGGGTTGGAATGGCCACGTGATGGGGTATTCTGAAGCGCGCCACAGCAGAGCGCTGGCGTTCTGGATCGCATCGATGGGCACTGAACGTAGGCAGCTAAGGATTTCGGCATCGGTGCTGTTGGCTACTGCGCTGCATCCTGTGTAGCTAAGATATTGCGCAAACTGGTCCTGGTACAACGGGTACGATGCATTGGGGAAAGCTCGAGCAGTCACACTGCCGGACTGGAGAAGAGCCTGCGAGAACAGTGGCGCAGCGCCCTCGGTGGTGTTGTAGTTGTGGAAGAGATGAATGCCAACTGAGTGCGCACCAGCTGAGCGACCTCCAATCGTGACGCGAGAAGCATCGCCTCCAAAAGCCGAAATGTACTTTTGGACGAACTTGAACAGGGTCTCTTGATCGCGGAGTCCGAGGTTGAGAAGTCCTTCGCGCTCAAAGACTGGAGACGGGAGGAAACCCAGAGAGTTGACCTGGATGACATCAGCCTGACTCGTGTGAGGACGATAGCTATGCTTACCCTGTAGTTGAAAGTAACAGCCACAAGCGGCTCCCTCGAGTTAGCCACGAAGGAGGCACCATCAAAGCTCCTCGCGCTACCAGCGACGAAACCACCCCCATGAATCCAGATCAGCACCGGTAGTTCCGCATCTTCCGCAACGCCCTGCGGCCGGAAAACGTTCATGCTCAGACACGCCTCGTCCAGTTCATATGGGAGTTCGTCTGGATCCTGGAAACACGAGTATCCATAACTGCTCGCGTTTTTAACACCGTCAAAGGGCTCTGGCGCACCAACAGGCGCAAACCTTGCCTCTCCAACAGGCTGAGACGCATAGTCGATACCGAGCCAGGCGTCTACAGCGCGTATTAGAGGCTTCTTCGTCAAAGTTTGCGAGACCGTGGTGCCGACAAAGGTGCCATAGCCGGGAAGCGTGACTGCAGATGAAGTGTTGTATGCTGCAGAAACGCTAGATACGCTGGTGGTGAGCAGCGCGAAGCTGGTGAGTAGTCGCTGAGCCATGCTGGTGTGGCCCATGATGGCGTCGATGTGGGTGTGTAGGATTAACGCGACGCGTTCGCACAACGCTGAAGCTACGTACAGCGGCGCCATCGTTGGATTGTATATAACAACATCCGACGTATGCTATACTTCCGAGATCGGTCGTATACCTTGCACTGCGTTGCATTCGCACCGACGTTCATCTCCACTCTCGACTCCACTACCCCACAATCCACCTAGTAATCAACGACGCGATGGTCTTGGTACCTGCTGCATGCGGTCGCGTACGAGTCGAACGCGGAGATACGCGTTCTGTCGGCTGTTATCTGTCATCGGTAATTCGTCGGTACTTTATCTGACAGCCGATCGGATGGCATCCGACGGCGACGGATGTTGATAAGTGAGGGCGGTTGCCGATAAGTGTGGTGTTGGGAAGATGCAGATTGCGCGAGCGGAGGTTTGCCGAGTCCGGGTAATAAAACCCCGGGAGCCGAGCTATATCACGGAGCCACCCTCTACACAAACTCAGACTCTCATTGCCAACAGGCTTCAATGAGAAGGCACTGACACACCTGATCAAGATTTGTAGTATGCTCTCTACCCCATGGTTAGCGCTCGTCAGACGATGCCTTAGTACCCTCCAAGATTTCATTCGCAGCTCAGGACCCCGCACGAGGCGCTTGCTTTCACGTCGCACCAACGGGGACCTGTTCCTTTCTTTTGTCCTTCAGAATTTCAACGAAATCATTGTTGTTGCGAGGTGCGATAGACTCATATACCCGCCCTTTGACCCCCTCTATCTGAGCAAAGAAAGGCCCACCTATGCGCTTTCGATCAACGAGCTGCACAGTGGTGCATTCTTCAGTACCGTCGCTCTGACTGCTGTCGTCTGTAGCAACAGCGACAGTGAATGTTAACTTGCCCCATGAGTCGGGGCACGCCGCATAAGGTAATCCGTAGCGCATATACAAACAATGTTCGGCATTTGTAGGACCATCTGCGTATAGCTGAATCATTCTGCCACTAGGATGACATATCTCTCTTCGCCAACCTCTGTTGGCTTCGACAGTAGATAAGCGGATTTTGCTTGTTAGGGAAGCGTATATTCCACCAAACACAGCGTGAGGTTTCTATAGCACCTATTAGTGGGCCACATCTATTTTCAATAGTCGCAAAACGTACGCGTTTGAATGCGAAGATAATATTCTCTGTGTACGTTTCGCACAGATTCCCAGCTTTGGAGTATCGAATGATATCAAATTGTCCGCCTTTTTTGCAATGCAATGTAATTTCAAATTCCCTCGAGCTCTTGACACTGCTGCGTCCTGATGTTTTTATTCGCCTTCGCACAACAATACGCTTGGAAGCACCTGTGCAGATCTCTTCCAAGGTGAACTCGATATCGTAGACAGTGTCAATACAAAACTTCGGAAAGGAGGGCCTAACAGGTTTGTTTTTCGTGATCTTGCGCGCCACCCACTCTTCTTTTTTTGTGTCAAAGTGAAGCTCTTCAGTAACAGTGCGACCCCATGGCCATTTATCGAGAAATGGTACGATTATGGTCTGCTCGTCGTCATCAATAGTCAATGCGACTTCTGCATAATATGAACGAGTTGAGACTTTGGGGATACGAGGAGCCTGAGGAGTGGCAGGAGATACCATGTCATTGCCGTATGATCGGTATAACTGCGGTAGGCTCTTGGAAGAACTGGACTGTTGCCCAACGTTGTGTGACAAATATTGAAAGACACCATCAGGAGCCTCGTCAACCTGAGTGACACAGTCGACCGCTTCGTGGTTACCAAGAACGACTGCAGAATCAGATCCACTCGCATCTGGATCGATTTTCGCGTCATCAAGGGAGGGGTCACAAGCCGGGTCGTATTCTTTTGTCGTCAGCAAAGTTCCTTTCTGGATTTTATCGATCCACTCAAGAACTTCATATGACACGTCAACATCAACTTCCGTCATGTGATCGTCGAGGACCTCGTCTTCCAACGCCACTGCATCCTCACTGTTCATAAATGCCGTGGCATCACGTCTGCCCGCAAGCACGTCCAAATGGATCCGATCCAGTTTCGCCCGAATGTCGAGGAGAGACAGGTAATGCGCTTCGGTATTCCTCTCGATCCTCGAGAATGTGCCGACGTTGATCCCGTTCAGCAGCTGTTGCAGCCGAACGCTATGCGTCGCTATCTTCTCTCGTATCGCCGCCTGTTTCCCAGCCGTAAATGCAAGTTTATCGCGGTATCGTGCATCGCGCGTGTTGAGTGAACGGAAGTCGTGGAGAAGCTTCTTCACCGACCGAAGATCAGCTTTACAGTCTTGCAAGCGCGCAGCGAGCTCGCCTCTCTGCGCGAAGGGAAGCTGTTGGAACGAGGACTGGGGGTTCTTGCACTCATCGTCTAGAGCGAGAAGGAGTGTGCGTAAAGAAGCCACTATTGTACGCCGCGTTAGTGCTTGTACGAGTTGTATTACGGGCAATACCCACCATCTGACGTGATCTCCTTGAAGTTGTCACCAGCGTTCTTACACGACTTGTAAACCGAATACGCGTAGTTGCTGATTAGGATGATGTCGCCGATGGAAAACCCGAAGCTTGCCATTGCTTGGTTCCGCAAAGAATGACACTCCCGAGGTCAGGTCGCAAGAATGAGCGATGGAAGTCATCTTCATGCTCAGCGAAGGCTGTGTACTAGAGATGTGCTGCGGCAAGGCGGAATGGTGATGGCGGGGTTGATTGTGGCGTTCGCGTTGCCTACGCTAGCGCTCTCCACGGCCGTGTCAAGGTGTGAGTGGTGGTTGAGCATCCGAGCATCAACGTACGCATAAGCAACTTTAGCAGGCATCTGCATGAGCGCGATGCACTCTCCTCACGTATCTTGCCAACCTGAATACGACTTTCGTAAGAATGGTAGCTCCTAACGTGAAGCTGCACTATCCTTGCGGATCGCAAGTACCGCGCAAAAGCCCATACTCATTACCGCTCAAGTCGTTGAGCGCAAAAGGCAAGGCGGAAATGCTTCCATAGAGAGACTTGAGCCCGTGGAAAACAGGACTGTGCTTGGAAGAGTCAAAGCCGACAGCATGCCAGAGTACGCTTTCGCAACTTCAAGACGCAGACCATTAAACCGTACTGTGTATGATGTTGGCCCGAGCTTCCCCAAGCCGAGGATATGTTGCTTTCACTCTGAATTTACGGACTTTCTGATAGTGGTAGAGGGCTATAGCAGACTTGGATAAGTTCTGATGATACCCACTGGCTTATATATTCATCTTAAAGTATGATCTACTCAGTAGCCACCTCAAGAACAAGGCCGGGCAGCAGTCAAGAGCCCACAGCGCCTTGTCACCATCTTCAAGCTGCCTACGAAGCGAAACACTGATCTTGATAGCTCGTAGATGGATGTGATCATCGTTTTGTTCTACACCTACGACATTAGACAAATACATATATAGGGATACCTTCATCTCCCGGCATTCGCCCAATCATAGGCTTTGAAGGCGTTAAGACCCTGCCTTGATCGATCTCAAATCCACCCAAAAGTAACCGAACCCCATAAACGCCATATCCCAGTGCATACCAATGCTTCTCTCAGAACTCCATACCCATCCCCCCATCCCCCATACCCCTCCCCCCTAACTCCCCCCATCAAACCCCCGATCCAACTTCTTCAGCGCCTCCTCCACCTCCACCGCCCTCTCCTCCCCACCCCTCAAGCCCTGCAGCCTCGGCAAATTATGCATAACGCGCTCCACCATCTCCTCCAGTGCTTTCGGATCGCGCACACCACCCCCGACACCCGTCATCGAACCACCAATGCCCCCCAGCGCAGTAGCCCGCATGTTATCCCAGACAGCTTGGGCGGAGTCTGACTTGGCTTTGCCTTTGGTGGTGGTATTGGTGGTGGTGTTACTTGGACTGCCACTGCCACTGCCACTGCCACTGCCACTGCCACTGCCACTGCCACTGCCACTGCCACTGCCACTGCCACTGCCACTGCCACTGCCACTGCCACTGCCACTGCCACTGCCACTGCCACTGCCATTGCCATTGCCAGTACTATTGGTATTGGTGTTTGCAGTGGTATTGGTATTGTTGTTCATGTTTTGACCACCCCCATTATCTGTCCCCTTCGTCAGCTCCGTATTCTGAATCGGCAATGACTGCTGCTGCTGGTGCATATGCGACGCCGAAGACTGCGGCACATGTTGACGTTTCCTCAGCATGACCTGGCCTTGTTTGTCCATGTAGGTTTCGTACCCTTGTTGGTCGAGCACTTCGTCGGGGACGCGGACGTTGACTTGTGATCGGTTGCTGCTGCCCCCAACACTACCACTACCACTACCACTGCCACTACCACTTGCGCTGCTCGCGCCCGGGACAGCAGGGTTCGGGTTTGGATGTGGGCCTGATGCTGTGGCTGGGGCGGCGGGGGCTTTCGCTTTCGCATTGGCATCTTGATTATATTTCTCCAGCGCGTGAATACGGTCTTGATTCTCTTTATTCCCTTCCATAAGGAAGCGAAGACACATTATAGCGTGTTCGCGGATGTAAGGGTTATGTTCGTCGTAGGAGCAGCAGTTCAACACCGCCTCGATACCACCCAATGGCCGTATCTGATCTTGAACATGCTTGTTCTTCCAGACCAGGGAGCTGAGGACGAGGACGGCGAGCTTCTTCAGGTTGCGCCACTCGAAGTCTGAGGGCTCGTCGGCTGCTTCGTCCATGTAGGGTCGGGGTGAGGGTGAGGTGGGTGGAGGGATGTAGGCTTCGGCTGCGCCGGCTGTGGTGTCGTATGGTCGTTCGACAGCGACTGGTTGGGGTTGGGGTGGCTGTTGCTGGTCTTGCTGCTGGTGCGACGGAGGGATGTGAACCTCTACTGGGGCTGGAGGTGGTGGCACGTGCTGGACATTCCTTAGGGGAGGCGGCGATAGCTGACCCTTGGGTATTGCTGCATCCAGTTCTTTCAATAAGGTCACCAGTTCATGTGATATCTCCCAATTACTGAGCATCCTCTTCCACGTCTCGTGTTCTGTGAGGATAGCAAAGAATTCGAGGTACTGATAGACACCCTCATACATGCGTTCCATATCCCACAGGTTCAGAGGGAAGTCCTCGGGTTGCGCATGTCCAGCGCGGATCTGGCCTTGCAGGAAGATGAGGGCGCACGTTTGGGGAATGATATGGCGCCGGAACTCGGTAAGCAAGAAGTTGACCATGTGGACATCGCCTTGGTCGACTTGCGGGTGGTTTGCCTTGAGATGCCCCTTGGTGGGCTGGGCGCGGGCCTGTCTGGCGCGGAAGATATTTGTGAGAAGCTTCATGATGACTGCCTGAGCCGGAGAGATGATGTCCTTGGATCTGTCGTTACGTTAGTCAAAGTCCGTGTTTCCGATGGGTATACTTACTCAGACTCTCTAAAGGCGTGATAAGCAAACGGCAGTAGCTGATTGGCAAGGATAGCCTCCATGATCTTGACCATGAACTTGAAGTACAACTCTTCCTCGCGCAGATCCCAAGCAGCAACAAAGATCAACAACTCGCGCAGCAGATTCCGGCCATTGTCCTGCGCAAGAAGCAAATGACACCGAACACCATGCATGCTCCTGACACTGCTAAAAACAGTCGGGTCGGAATGATGACCAGGCTGTCCCTCCGTAGGCTCAACAATTCCAGCCATGATGATCATAGGCAGAACCTCAATCTCGGTAGGACCCAGAATAAGCGGAACATCTGTGAGCAACCCTCGGCCTTCATCACCAGGAATGTCATCGTAGTCGTCATCATTGTCATCGTCATCCTCTGGTGGAGGAGAGGTAGGAGACGCTACGTCACTGATTAGCCCTGATGGACGGTCGGGGTCTGGCTCCAGACGCTTAAGCAGATCTTCTTTGCCATTTTGGAGTATCTCCGCACCGAAGGATGGCGGGTATGTCACACGGAAATCGATCTCACCTGCCGGGGGAGACCGTTTGATGCTGGGATCTAGTAACGAGTCATCCAATGCTGGTTTCGGGGATTGCTTCTCCGCTGTGGGTTGGGATGGTTGTTCGCTGTTGGACTCGTCGCCAGGGAGAGCTGTGATGGATGACCGCATCCTGTCGACCTCCACTTGGAGTTGGTTGATGCTTTTCGCCAGCGCCTGTACACTCTCTTCGTTCTTGGCATGCTGATCCACGACTTTGCGGTATGTGCTGGTTTGAGTGATCTGATCGCGATATCGGGCAACGACATCTGCATAGAGCATGTTCCATTTCTGAAAGTGTTAGCAGGAATCAGGTCACACGACAGACGTAACCTACGTTCTTCTCCTCTTCACCCATGGTCTGCCACCTCCGCCTGCACTCGGCCGCAATTTCATTGGCACCTGCCTTGACACCATGATGTATCAGGGCCTTCTTGACGTCGTTGCCAGTCTCGCCGATGTAGAGCAGGAATGGCGAGGACGCAGGCTGTTGGGGAATCTTGAACGCGTCCAGACTTCGCGCTGCATGAGTGGGTAGAGGCTGCTCCTCCGGTGGCGGGCCTTGATCTTGTTGTGGAAACTCGTCCATCTTGTACTTCATGTCTGCGAAGTTGGGCAGTTCATTGTCGAGATGACTGTCGAACAGTTCGATCCAGAGCATCAGCTTCCGCTGCTCGTTCCGCGCAATAAGATTGTTGAGGAACTGCAGACAAGTGATGAGCAGCTTCTTGTATGCATTGATGACGCCCTGCCATTTGTCTTCGTCCTGAGTTCCAGCCTCGCCATCGTAGCCCCGCGCTGTAACGCGCACGCAGACATTGATGAGCGCAAAAACGTCCTTGTCAAAGAGCCTGTCTGCACTCAAGTTCTGCACTCTCTCGCCATGTACCTGCACATTCCTTGCAATGCACACAAGTTGATTCAGCCGTTCCAGATCCCTCAGCAGACTCGGCGAATAGCTTGCGATAAGCGGGCCCGACAGACCCTCATATTCAGGCGCAGCAGGATCCGGCGCAGCGAAACAGCGGCGTTCGAGCGAGGGGATAGCGGCTTTGAGCACGCCCGCGAGATCGTCCCAGAACTCCCACGAGAGGCCGAGTTCTTCGCGCAACTCGAGGCTCTTCCGCGACTCTTCCAGCGTCTTCTTCACCACATCGCGCTCCAGCATGCGCAGTGTGTCGTCCCGGACATAGCCCGGGTTGTGGAAATGGACGGTATAGGGCGCGAGCGCAAGGCGTAGTCGGGTGAGGTAGGGTCGCGCGGTCATACTGGACGAGCTCTCGGGCCGCTCCGAGTCGCCCACGCTCTCCGTGTCGTTGATGCTGCCTTCGGCCATGGCGGGCTCCGTCTCAGGCTTCACGTCGGGCGGTGATGGCGCGCGGCGGTCCCAGTCATTCCACAATTGGTGCTCGGCGAGTAGCGATCGGTAGACCCATACACGAATGGGCCCGGGTGCGCGGAGGATGCGGTAGACGTTGTTGGAGGCCAGTTTTTCGACTATGTTGTGGTATTGCGCCAGCGCTATCGGTGCAAAGGCGAGGTGGGCAGACTCTTTGCCCGTGTCTGCAAACGGCGAGGGGAGATGCAGCGCAGCAGGCAGCGAATCGGAGTGTGTGGAGGAGCTCGAGTCGGAGGTC